GCACATGATATGCATAATACTATTAATACAACAAACACATTCCCTTTATAAATATTAATAGTAGATTCCAACCTGTCAATCAATGAGAACAGTTCGCAATGACATCATTTAAAAATATTCTAATGTTATTCCATCGGCCAATAGAAACCTCTTGTTTTGGTGTGAATATAATATATAAAACTGAAGGGAATGCTTTTTTTATGGTAATAATAGTAACAAATATTTGTAGTATAAAGGTAAATACATACTGTATGTGAAATCAATGGCTGGTTATTCAGATTCAAAGTATTTATTTTAGTCCAGCTTTTCAGTGTGTTTATATGAAGACTTGTCACTTTATGTGAGCCGCCATATGGATCATTTTAATCCTTTTTAAAGCCATGTATGTTTTCAAAGTCTGTCAATTCTCATTGCCTCTAGTATATTCACCTTTAATCATTTTTTTCTTTCTTTTCCATCTGCAAATCACAGTCCCTCTATGATAGAGGGACTGTGTGCAAATGTAATTGTTTTGTTTTTTTGGACTATTGCCAATCAAACATTCATACTATTGCCATATGAGTGATCGGTCTTTGAAAAGAAATGAAAGTGAAATGTTTTAAATAACAAACATATTGACACAGGAATCTCCTGGAAATTTGCTAACTATTTCCTGTTGCTGGCTATTTGAGAGTCCTAAGAAAAAACTTGTGATATCAAAAATGCCTTTGAAATAGGAATCTTTAATAATTGTGTGCTTTTTGACCAATTTTTAATTCATAATGGCTGCCAGAGAAGCACCTTGGCAGAATTATTGAAAGTGGGGCTATTCAATTCATGGTGCTAACCAATTCACTTGCATTTTCATATTAATTGGCCAATTTTAAGCATGTATTAAGTCAGAGAATAAGTAAATACAGAAAGCTTGCTTATAAACAGACAACAAAGAGAGGTTTATTTACTAGTGATTGTAAGAGTATAATTTCAGGGTACTTTTACTTTCGTCTTGACTGACATGGCCACGACTACATTTGTAATTAAACCTGTTTATATATTTAGGATGACTTCATTATTCTTGTCCATTTTGGTCAGTATTTTGCAAAATGTTTAAGATGTAATGTTTCAATCCTTTTATACTCACTTTTGCCATACAAAGAAAAGATCATGCTTCGTTTGTATCCATTCATTCCATTCATTTTGTTATTTAGTCTACATTGTCAATGGACAAGGTGCAATAGTTATGCTCAGCTTATGGTTTTGTACTCACAAGTCTTGAGTTATATAAAACATCCACTACTGTGGCATTGCACTTTTTAACGTTATCCGTATTATCTTAAAATGACCGATCTGTCTGGGAAACTATTGGGACAGTTCGTTTTTCTTCGATATTATCGTCTAATAATGTGTAAGTTAGACTTATCTGCCAACATTTCATTAGATTTTATTAGACGATAATTATCTAATAATATTGGAGAAAAAGGATCTTTCCCAATCTTACCCGGTATGCCATATTCAACCCCTATCTTTGAAAGCATATCCACTTTAATATATCAAATATAAAATCTGAATTCAAGTTTTTTCTCAGTAAAAGTTGGAAGCTTGAAGCTGCTATCAAAATCAGATCACCAATAAATCTTAGGGAGCATGCATATTTGTTTTGTTAGTAGGGCATGTGTTTATGTAAAGGTGTGTTTTACTGATCACTGATAGCACAGTGGTTGTTGCATCAGATTAATGATCGGTATAAATTCAAGTAAAAATCCTACCCATGGTCGAACACCAGATAGGGTCAAGTGTGTCATAGATTCATTGGGAAGGCTAAAACTACTGACCAAGATTCATTCACTGGCAGATGTGATTTTCTGGGAACCTGACCAGGCCTGGCCAATCCCATGTAGTGCATTAAATTGCCATTTGACAGACAGATGTGTTTTTCTGATAATAATTTATATTTTAATTATCCAGTACACAGTAAATTCAACTGTTTTCATACATATACTTTTATCCTGGAGATCATAGATGTTCTTTTAATAGAACAAGTACAGTAATTATTAAAATATAAAGGTTTATTTCCAAATGCAAAGGGATCATTCATTGACTTGAAGGTCATACATAAATCTTCACAGCTGGCATCTTTGACATGTGCTTTTTATACAATCATGTACATCAACCACCCACTTGATACAGGTGCTATTTTAAACATAGTCCACCATGTATTGAGAGACTGTGAGTGTGTCTTGAATAACTGTTCTCTGCAAATTCCTAAGCCATGTGTTACTCCTTCCACAAAGCACACAATAATAGCGTTCACGCACAGCTCCTTAGCACGGGCTAAGAGGTCAAATTCCTTAGCCCGTGCTAAGAAAACGTGCGTGAACGCTTAGCACGGGCTAAGAAATGCTAAGTACGGGTTAAATCTGATTCGAATTTAAGACGCGGTCTAGACCCTTAGCACGGGCTAACGAAGTATGCACGAACGCTTAGCCCAGGGCTAAGCGCCCTCTGCGGCGACCTTTGGGTGTGAAAATTGTCCCATGTTCGTATAACGACTCTATTCCACTAGTCATTGCCCCGCGCTCGCTTCCACATTGATCGGGTCGCTGTAGTAGAGCGTACAGCAGCTCCAATTGTAGACAACATAAATTTGGTTCGCTGTATACGACGTGCATTAATAAAACTCTGTATTCTGTTATGCCCGTTGCGTTGTATACTGTTTCTGTGCATCCAAATAAGTTGGGTCCGTCTTCTCCTCGCGTTCCTGTGCACGTCGCTTCAAAATTATAGAACGAAACATGCCAGCAGCAGAAATAGAACCTTGCGCGTGTCATCCGTTTTTCATTCGTAAATAGCGGCTTTAAAGGTCACCGACTAATGGCACCCCTTAGCCCGTGCTAACGACTGGCCCTCCCTGTGTGTGGACGCAATTGGGTCTAGCCGAAATGCAAATATGCTAGATAAGCCTAAATCAGCTTAAATCTTAGCCCGTACTTCGTGTAACGTGAACACAACTAATTTCTGAGCGCTTTTCTATCTTTATCTCTTATTTATTTATTTGTTTATTTATTTGTTTCTCTAGGTATAGCTTTATTGTATTTACATCTGTATAGAATCTTCAACGTGGAGGAATATTTGAAGCGAGCTAAAGGTCACATCAAGCTAAGTTTACATTACATACGTAGTAGACGTCAATCATTCCTGTGTGGCGATGCCGGCCCATTAGCCGTAGGCGCTGTCATTTACCACATGACTGGCAAAGAGGACAAGAGCCAAGAGTTACTACTGAGGTCAGTATCTTGCTGATAATAAACAAAATGTCTCATAATGCAGGGCTTAAAAAAATTACTTTAATTTTGAAACTCATTGTCCGAAATGTACCTTGCCTAAAAATTTTAATTGAGTTACTATTTAAGTGTCCCAATGAAAATTGGTGTCAAGCCCTGAGATGCTTTTTAGGTTGTACATGTACTACTACTAAAACAATCAAAATGCACAGTGACAGTGGGAAACATAGGTAACATTGCTATGAATGATAGTCTACTTTAGACATTGTCTGTGTCACGTAGATGGACATTTCTCCCACCCATAACTGTCATACTGTTTTCAAAGTGATACAAACACAATATCTCAAATGTCTTTCTTATAACCCTAACACTGTACAGTGTGATAGAAAGCAAAGGACTCGGGTATTACAGTACTAACATTTCAGGTTTACCATGCGTTTTCTTTTTTTTTTCTTATCCCCACAGGTACACCAGAGTCTATTCGTCCGTATGTACGTCCATATGGAGTCATAACTAAAGAAATTCAATACTCAGCATTTTGAGACTTGGTGTGTGTGATAGCTGTGCATTTCTGGTGGAAACAAGGCATGCTTATTCACATACCTTCATACTGCAGAACTACCTGTTTGTTCATACAGAGTTGTAACTAAAAAGAATTCAACGCTCATCATTTTGAAATTTGTTGTTTTCTGATGGTCATACAGTTCTGCTGGAAAGAAGATATGAATTGCAGGCTGATTTGTATTTATTACAGAATGATGGAAACTTGTACACTCTTTTTAATTTCTGGTGAATTGATTTGCATATATTACAAATGTAAATTCAACAGTCATCGTCTAGAAGCTGTATGCGAGATGGCCAGACTGTTCTGGTGAAGACAAAATGCATCAATTGCTACCCCTACCCTCCCCCCTCCCACTATCTACATGTACTTCTCAGTTGTGATGTGCACTAATCTTAGCTATATCCAGTTACAGTACCTGGTACACCACAGTCCACTAATCAAAACAGTGATCTCTACCACTCCTTTTGAAAAAATGACAAGGGATCTATCATCTCTGATCGCTTTCTTGTTATAACTGGCATTTGTGATGGCTTAAAACACTATGATAATAGTTTTTTACTTTTTTCTCTTTATCTAGGTTGAAAGATATGCATTATGTCGTGTTGAGTCCAGAATATATTGTTCCAGATGAAATGTTGTATGGAAAATCAGTTATCTGTATGCTTTGATGTATGCACAGAAGTATCTTGTAAAATTATTATACTGATGCCC